CTTTCCTACCTCCTCTCCACTATCCCCCTTTCTCCTCTTTTTTTCTCCACCACCTCCCATCCTTTGAAACACAGTATCACACTTAGATAGCCTTTGTTGTCACGGCAAGGAGCATTCTTTCTCCGGCGCGGCCACACGGAGTGTGAGAATGCAGGAGGTTCCCTGAAAAACACAGAACAAAAGAGAAGCGGAGTAAAAATGCAGCAATGTAGCAACTGCCTCAAATGTTTTAGGGTAGAATAAAACAATTTGAATACAAGTTTTTCTGCTGATTTCATTTATTAATGTTCTTTTGAAACGTTAGGCCCATTGGCTTTGACTTCCAAGGAAAAGCCTGGTGAGGACATTGACGGGAAGATAGTATTGAAATGTTATTAGTTGCTGTCAAACTGTGAGGAAAAAACATTATCATCACTGCAACTTGGTCGGTACATTCACCGCCCTAGGGGAAAGCTTGTGATATGTGGTTAGAGAAGAAATGCGCCTGAAAGACTTGTGTTTTGAAACACAGTGTGGTCCGGTTGAATGCATCGGCTCATTCCAACTCGTCAGGTGACAGAAGCTGAAGATGTCGTGCTTCTTCATAAACATAATCATGATATTTTGCTTGTGCAAACATGCAAAACTATGCTCTGTTGACAATGCTGTCACTCTGTCACTAGACATGCAATTTGTCTGACGGATTGCATCAAACAAAGTGGATCTTGGGAATAAGATGCCAACTTGTAAGGAATGAATAGCGCTAACTTTAGTTGATTGATGAAATGTAGTGAAATAAATTGATTCATGGCACACTTTTCAATAATGTTTTTAGTCTTCAATGAAAGGTACCAAGTATTTTCAAATTGATAGGCTGGAATCCACGTGAATTCCAGAGTCATTATTGTCCATGTTAAAGTAAAAAGAAATGTATCTTGTCAACTCTAAAATCATCAAACTTGTGGCCCTCACCTCTGCTTTGATGCGTTTCACCTAATGCAACATTTGTCATAATTTTTTCAAATTTAAATAATTTCACTTCTTTCATATATATTTTCTTTATTTCCTTGTCTTATTGATCTCTTTAGGATCTTTTCATTTGTAGCTAGCTGTGTTTTGAATAATTACAGAAAGAATGACTTCCATCCAGGTTGCGTGTGTGTGTGCCGCTGTGCGTGAGTGTGAGCCGCTGTGCGTGTGTGCCTGCCCGTCCGTGGCCTAGCCTTGAGAGTTCAGAGCAGGTTCTGGCTTGCTCTACTCTGGGAAACTG